ATTACTGGAATTCATTCTCCATCATCTCCAATGACTACACCGAAAAAATCTCGCTCAAAACATGCAGTTCACAAACCTACGCACACTCAACTCAGAATCCTATATAAAACGCTGTTCATTGCAACACAAACTCGTATCAATGTTCCCCATTATGAAGGCCCCCAAACTATCATCTACCTACCTGCGGACTCGGTTCTTGTTTTGCCTCTTGGTTCCGCGTGTGGTTCGTCGGGATCTTTGTCCCTCAAGGCTCTCGTGTAAGACACGCACATGATGACATTACAGATGGGCAATGTATTGTATCCTACAAATGCTCCTGATTCATCGTAATTCTTGGTAGCGTAGCGGGAGAAGCCATTGTAAACATTCAAAGTGTCAAAAGCCCCGAACGTACACTGTCTAGAATCATCTGTATCATTGTCAAATCACCTAAGCTTGATGAATCACTTAAGGTATACTAATTCGTTGGGACTGCTGGATAATTTGAGATGGGATGTTGAACACCCAAACGCGACTGCCGAAAACAGGAAGACATCAGAGAATACCCCATTAAGGCTCGAATTTCTTGATAATGTCGATTCAAAATCAATTCCTGAGGAGATTGATGTTATGGGAATGAGAGGAGGATCATGAATATTGTCATATGTTCACAAAAGTATGAATGAAGCAGTTTCCCTAATTACTGATGGCAAAGCCATCATTTTCTTTATTTCTGTGGTTAGTGACCACGCGCAATATGAGCCTGCTTGCGCGGAAGTAATGCAATAGAATCAGTTCTTGAATCTTGAGCCTCAGTAGTCTTCAGGCAAAATTTGTCAAATGGAAATAGTGCTATACCAAGATGTTCCACAACCAACATACAGTATCTTGCTCCGAATTGGGAGGTTCAGGGAGAATTGAATCGATCACAGAGCTTCTAGGTAAGCTGCTGACGGAGAACTGTATGGAATTAACAGGAGATAGAACAGAAGAAGAGGTAGCAGTCAACGATAAAAAGAGTATGGCTCGGGCTTAGCAATGTAATCTAGGTTTGAATAGCTTTGCTGACGCACTGTTAGAATGAGAAGAGAAAACACAAGTCGCACTTGTTTGTGTCTGAGGGATAGACCATTTGTCAGTATGTCCGGTGTCAAGCGAACTCTACCCACAGAAAAATGGATTTTATTTTAATAGACATGGTTACCATTGGACCAGCCATACCCCTTAGGGCTCTGGCATCGAACTTATAATACATGATATATGTCACGGGATCACCTCTGGGAGTATTCAGAAGCTTTACCGCTGAGCTAAACGCCCAAAAGACTAGGAGATAGAACTGGAAGTTCTACCTTACTCTCACATATATAGCAGGACAGAACAGGACAGGACAGAAAGGGCTTAATGTCACCCCGTGACACCACCCCCCTCCTTAAGGTATGATCTCCATACCATCACTTACTAGGAGGTTTCAGGATTCTGGATTCTAATGCCTCAGGCATTCAGACAGGCAGACAGGATCTATATATACTAGCCCCCAGACCAATAGCCTGTAAGCTATAAATAGGCCCCCCACACAGCTCCACTTATAACCAAGAGTAGTTCTACCTAATGTCACGGAATCACCTCTGGGAGTATTCAGAAGCTTTACCGCTAAGCTAAACACCCAAAAGACTAGGAGGTAGAACTAGAAGTTCTACCTTACTCTCATATATATAGCAGGACAGGACAGGACAGGACAGAAAGGGCTTAGTGTCACCCCGTGACAATATATGCCTATTTAGGCTAGCACCTTCCTCTACTACCGAAACCAACTAATGAGCACCCGCAAACCTAAACCTTCCTAAAACCACCTATAAACCATTTAATAAACCACCTAATCCATCGAACTATATATAGATTTTGATTAATCAATCCTGCCCTCCTGATATCTCACTTTTAACTCCCGGTGACCCCTTCCACAAGCATCCAACCTAGGCCCGATTTGTTTATATACGATAAACAGACTACAAGGTGATTGGTATGTCTGATATAATCGAGATATTTCGAATGATTTGATTGGTTGAATTACTGAATGATTTCTAAGATTTATATATAGCTAATTAGGAACTGCGAACATCTTAATCAAACTAATGCTTAGCGAATCCTGAATCTGAAATTTGAAATACCGAATTTGGAAACTGAATTTTGATTTGTCGAACCGAGCGAAACTGATTGAAAAGTGGGTCTTAATTACATCGAAAAAGCGGGGCGAAACCCGAAAGGCGTAAACACACCGAATTGATTTGTTGAATTTGAAATATCGAAGAGTTGCCGAAGCCGAAAACGGGAATTCCTTTTTGTGTAGTTTACCAGAAAAATGGATTTTATTTTAATGGACATGGTTACCATTGGACCAGCCATATCCCTTAGGGCTCTGGCATCGAACTTATTTTTTTTTTTTTTTTTTTTTTATATTAATTAACGTCTGTTTTTGGACCTCCCTAAGGGTATTTAGACGTGCTAAGATAAGGAACTATTTGAGCGGCGTGATCGTCGCGACCGAATTTAGCAATTTAACTTCAATGCCAGGGGCTATTCGCTCCTCTGCGGAACCATCGAACTTATAATACATGATATATGCCTATTTAGGCTAGCACCTTCCTCTCCCACTGTTTAAACTCATCTATGGCAATGGAAAGTACCGTAAACTGTCCAGACGTGATTTTACGGAGACCAGAGTCAAATTAGCATGTGAAATGAATGAGAGAAAAAACGGATCATGTCAAGTGGGTTTCTTCAATTGGTCAACTTGGAACTCAAATGTCCCGTCAAAAGTTTACTCTTTTTACAAGGCATGAGTTCCTTCATTTAATTGGATGGATCCAGGCGCTCCTTGAGAACTAGACGTTAGCGCTTGGCAAATCTAAGTTTGATTGGCTCCTGAAAAACTAGTTCTACCTGTCTTCCTCTTCTGCTCAAACGTAGTAATAACCAGTTAAATCAACTGGATCGAAATGTCGCCAATCCCACGAGAAATTTCAAGTTTACTTACAACCACAAAATTTCTCTGATCATACAATCACTTCATATCAGCTTGTAAGAGGTCATGAACAAAATATGTATCTGGGAGTTTGCCTACCTCACAGTGAAAGAGGTCGATCTTACCGAAAGCATGCTTTGTGCTCCAAATTACACCAATGTATCATCTTGGACACGGATATTAAGATGGTGTTGGGGTATCTGGAATGAAGAATGGGAATTAGCACAGCAAATACCATTTATCGAAATCTTCGTTTAAACTTGAATCATTTCTTGCTAATGATACTTATATAAACGGAAAATAGCTTGAAATGTGCCGCTTTGTGCTTAAACATTAATATCCACAATTTTAAGTATCATCTTGGATACAGGACTCATTTCAAGCTAGTTTGATTTCCTGACTCGAAAAACAGCTTCACAATCAGTGACAGTCATCCCGTATATCAACTTTCCGTTTTGTCATCTTTATTCCTCACAGAATTCCAACGCATTGCTATCGTCTTATTGTGTTTCTATCTCTCTTTTGCAAAGCTCCATGTCTAGATATCACCTATGTACTGTAGTCCCACAGAACTCTGAGAAATAGATTATGTGCTTATCCTCATGCCTATACTTTCCTCACAAGCTGCGGTTCCATTGAAGCAACTTCTTCTTCATCCCTCTTCAGATAACCCAATTACTCATCTAATCCTAAACGTATACCAAAGCACTACCAAATATTATATGTTGCGTTCCTGAAGCAGGAGAAAAGTGGTGCGCAGATTTCAATCATTGATAGCGCCCATACTATGGGACAATCCATTTCCAACCGAAGTTCTGCTCGTTGAATTGAGACGCATTAAAATTGAGATAGTTATAGAGGCAGGCACAGAAACAACCAAATTGTGGAGGGCCTATTACAATGGTCAGAAATCAGCATTGCGTGAAGCTTGAACAATGTTTGATCATTAAGTGGATCGTCGGATAGTGGTCTCGGTTGTGGTCATACCAGGTCTTTTCGAAGATATTGTTCGAGGCGTCTGAGGGTGGTATTCTTTTTGCAAGAAAGAAAAAGCTTGGATTCAATACAAAATATGAGAGACTACCGCAATGTTAATATTCTACTTAAACCCTACAATACGAAGGAATTTTAAAAGTTGGGAAGGATCCTCCCAGTGACTTGACCAGATTTCGTTGAAGGCACCAGCCAGATTCGGTCAAGTTGCATTTGCACTGAGTACTGCATTATTCTACAGCTTGAATGTAAGATTGAAAGTGCTAAAGCCGTTCTTTAGCTTTCCGATATTGCAAAAAGTACCTAGAGGTTAAAACGCAAAGCCCCCCACCAAACAACCCTGCAGCTGTAGTGAATTATATTACATATCGGGTTCCAGTAAGTCATCATATGGTCAATATGCAGAGTTAAAGTCTGCATCGCTACTGTTGCCGTGTCGAAGGTGTGAAGTGGCGGTTCCCGGTCAATAGCTACATGGAAAGACTCATGATCACCGCGTTAAGGAAATTGAAGGATTTCTTTTTCAGCCAGATTCAATATCTGAGCAGTACAGATGAAATGGGTAAGTGGAAGATGTGAACACGTAATTTGCCTCTTGATACTGTTTACTTCCAAAGGTGGTAAAAATAAATACAATTTTCTTATTCTCCGAAACTTGACCTCACCTACTCTTGGCTTCTCTAAAACGATAAACTTCTGATCTTATCGTCGTGCCTTCTCGGCACCATGGCGATAGGCAAAAGCTGGAATGTCGAGTTTTCCTACAATGGAGCTTGTAATTTTTTCGGCTTTTTGATTCTAGGATGCTCACTCATGAGCGACGACTATGCGGTGGATATCTAGATTGAATAAATGATAAGTCTTCATCAGAAGGCTCAGGCTGTACATTCTCCGAAATATCAAGAGACCCAGAAAAGCAGCTTCCTAGTTCATGGGTTGAAATGCAACGACAGCAGCGAGGTAAGTGCGATGCCATGAGGCTACGTGTACCCACTTCAGCATCTTTGAAAGCTGACTGTTTCTCTCAACCCTACACCCACAAATACTGCATCATGTATTTTTCGTTCGAGATATTCAAGAAATATTCTTAAAAGTATAGTAATCCTTACCTGTCAAAGTTTTTGATATTGTGTCAGCATCCAACCCAAAATTCAATAGGTATGACAAGCATGGTTTGCATCCAAGCTAAGGAGAAACAGCTAGATCGACGTTTTGGCTCAGCAAAGTATTATCTTGGTATTGTACCCTAGCGGCAGCTTCCAATATTATCATTTATAACAAAGCGTATTGATTCTGCAAATGGTCTTTTGACTAGCTGTTCACTCAACAGGGTTGGTATGTTATGTGTGTGCTGATGTCGACTTGATTTATTCCTTTACCGAATTGTGGCATCTTTGAAGTGAAGAGTAGATGAAAAACACAGTAATTGGAAATGAATACCCGCAGGTGACTTTAGGCATAAGAAAAAAGAGATGCATCATGTAGCCTTTGTACGTGTAACTACTTGATTGGCATTTTCCCACTGTCTTATCTCTTTTGTAAAGGAAGATTCACTAGTTTGCCTGTCACTCTCATAGCTTGCGTCTCGTTCCGATTCTTCGTTCCTGTCAGGTATTCATCCTATCATGTCCAATCCAGTGCTACGGTTCCAGTGTATCCTGCTACACTTCCTGCTATACTCATATTTCTATTGCACTCCGAGATGTTAAACTTCCGGAGATATATAGTTTCATCGGCCATACTTGTTGGTCTGAGTTTTCAATGTTGTATCGGTCTAATTTGCGAGACTTTGCCATCACTGGTAAACTCATTGATTCTGGTCGGCCTAGTTTTGTATCCTCGCGTGCTGTTCTGTTGCTAGTAAAATTCCTGCGCCGGCCCAGTGATGATTTCTGGAACTTTTTTAATCTACCTCCAAGCTGCATTAGGAGTGGAGATCCGGTTGATATCGCAATACCCATCCCTGTCTCAATGAAACTCCACAGTTGTGGGCGAGGCCCAATGTATGTGAAATCTTGGGGGTTATAGTATAAGTCTATCAGTGCCCAGAGACGTAGTATAGAACTAATAGTGACACTTTAAGTCGGTGTCAGCGAACTACCACAAGTTCAAATGTGGGATATCTTACATGCTTCCCACCGAAAACATCAGGCATATTCTGAGTTTCGCTCCATTCGTTATGGTAAGTCCCACGACACAGCAAATTGGTAAGAGAGTTAAAATGAAATCCGTTCCGATATTCGGTATAGCAATACCAAGATAAATAGCTTTGAGATTCAAACAGGACCCTGGTGTGTTAGACGACGGATAACTCCACGCCTTTTCAACAGGAATGCATTGAAAGATGGTAATCCCGAGCTATGACTACCTCATTAGCTTCTGGATGAATTGTCGACAGTTGAGTGGATGGTACTAACAGCAACTACTAAATAGCACACTGTGAAAACAATTAAGATCATGGATATTGTCCTGATCGAACGGTGCACGTGAAATATGCGGTAGATCATCATCGACAGGGAAATCTTCGCGGCAACAACGGTGAACATGTAAAGAATCTCCAAGATATAGAAGACCTTGTAGATAGTATCGATGGAAGTCACACTAAGAGTTTCCATATGCTTCCCAAACCCAAGCTTGATACCTATGAACTAGTCAGCGTTTATGCAAATTATCAATTCAAGCGATTTCCACAGTACTGTAAAGATACCCCACGAGTTCACCAGTCAGCGAAATCTACTATATTAGCAACGTCCTTAGTGATTTGACGTAGACTTACTACTGCAAGAATCATAAGCCCGTCATCGATAACATATAGTACCTTTCTGCGAGCCTTGTTATATATCGATATTATGGTACACATAATGACCAGTCCATATACCACACTACATGCTACTATATTGGCAATTTGAGCATTGTCCAGTGATGGATGTGCAACAGATGCATTCATAATTTCTGGTATAAATGTATAGTCGAAGCTTGTGCTATCTGGGAGGATGTCGAGGGCAGATGAGAGTACTAAAAAGCGAAAAGATAATTCAAATGGTCATAAAGGATATGAAGCTCAACGAGTATGCCATACTCGGAAAGTAAATGCTTCTTATAAACTATTGCTTCTTTGGATTGATTTTGCCTTGCCCATGAAATAAGAGGCTGTGTACGCGAGTTGGGTAGCACTGCAGTTCTACATAGCCGAATTCATAACTGGCCCCCACGAATAGCCGACTACGACTATTTGGTAGGCAAAAGATTACTAGTGAACTATCGGTCCACGAGTCTGGCAAAATGATTTGTGTATACTGAATTTCTTCTACTGGGCTGAATGTGATAGGGTTGCCCCTCATATGAAGAAGTTGTACTCGGCTCTGTGAAAAGTGGACCATTATAATATGAAAGCAATTAAATAGTGCGGCTCCTCACAGCTGACGCCTTCAGAATGAAGCAGAAACCGATTTGCACCTACATCTCCACTAGTATCAGATGTTGAGCCAGTTTATATGTTCAAAAAATTTGCTTGATACCATTCCCAAAGATTCCTGATGCTTGGAGTTGGAATTTTTACCCCGGATCTACCTCAAAGGATAAGTTGTGGTGTAGTGATGATCTACATCTGACAGGCATAGCCATCACTATCCTGAAAGCGGGATACCTTTTATTTGCTAAATTTGTGTTTTTGCCTTATTTCAACCTGTTCGCTGTTGATTAATTGAATATTCGGGTTGACTGAGGAGAAAATATCAACTCGCAGTGTTCTCAAGATTGCAGTTTTGCGGACCATGCTTCCAATATTCCAGGAGTACTCATTGCAACCGCCATGGAGATATCTGCATGGAACAAAATGACAATAGTCTACAGGGTGACTTTCCTGAATGCTGTGGCGCCGCAAAAATGGGGTATCAATTCTAAAATCATCTTCAACATATTTCCATCAATTACCACCAAGTCTTTCAAGCTTCTCTGTTCCTGTATCGGAAAGAACTTCTGCTGCTGTTTTCGATTGGTTGTCCCCCTCCACTTTCTTTTCCGTTATTTCCTTTCCACTTTTCACAATGAAATACTTCCCGCCTCCGAATTCGACCTTTTCAGTCGCAGTTCCAGTCACATCCCACTCTTCTGCACCTTGTGTATCTATCGCAATCCCTGGCTGCCTTCTCGGTCTTTTGTTTCTTCCTTTATATTCCTCTTTCTTTAACGCTTCTTGGATTTCCTTAGTTTGCAATCCAATTGACTCAAGCGCTTCTGCCTCCAACGTCTCATCCCTAATACTTCTTAGGGGCTCAATGCCCTCTGTATTGACCTTCTGAATATCCCTCAAGAAATGCAATTGTAAATGTAGTGTATCTAGTAATTTCTTTTCTTCTTCAGGTGTTTTGGGAAGAGGAAGTGCGGAGAGTCGACATAAGTGATGAAGTTGTTTGACTGTAATTTCTTCGGCAGGCTTCTCATTTGGAGATGGTAGAAGAGACCGAACGGACCAAGTTGGTTTTGATAGGAGCTCATCGATGTTTGTCTGTTGGTGAGAAAGATCCACGTTTATTCGAGCATATACTCGGCGGACTGGGACCTGTTGATCTTCCGGCTTGGGAGTCAGAGGTGTCGTTATCTTACTTCCGTGAAGCCTTACACTCCGAGGCACAAAACGACCTGTGCTGCTTCCTGATTTAGGTAATGAGCTTCCACCTGCTGCAGATGTCTCCCGGGGGGCTTCTGAAGTACTGTATGTTCGAGGAAGGGAGATTTGGGCGTATCTGAGTTTTGTGGTAGGAAAGGAGTGCCGCAGCGATGCGCGACATTGTAAACATATAGATTTCGACATTTATGATCAATTAGGTGACAACGTTGTGTTCCATGAAGATCATTGATTGTTTACATTGTGAATTTGATAAAATGTTCCCATGCGTTCCCCAGAAGTACGCTAGTGTGATTCATAGGCGGGGCAAGGCTATGTCAGAGCGTAAGGACTAGAAACAAACAACCCTTGCAAGAGTTGTCTTCAAAACCACGAACACATGTTAAACTCTAACAACTCATTAATACTTACAACTCTTGATCAAACTCATTAATTGATAATATTTTGCCTGAGACATATATTGCACAAAAGAATACAACACAAAATCGCAATCATGGCACAAGATCCTCGCACTCTTATGCAAAAGGTACCAACCCCACCATCTGCTACTCGATAAGCTTCATATTGACATTTCCCCAAGGCAGATAAAGCAGTTGCAGGTGCTTCTGGTGGTTTCAGTCTTTTCGGTGGACGACAGGAGAAATGGGAAAATGCTGCTGAATTATATAACCAAGCTGCGAATGCGTTCCGCATGCAAAAGCAAAGTAACACTTTCCCAAGTCTTTGAACCTTTACATTTATACTGATACCCGTTTTACAGACAAGGAAGCCGGACAAGCCTTCGAGCGCGCTGCCGATATTCAAACCAACAAATTGAACGAACCGGATGATGCTGCCAACACGCTCACAGAAGCCTTCAAGGTATACAAAAAGGGGGAACCACTAGATGCGGTTCGATGCTTAGACGTTGCGATCAACCATTATACATCGAAAGGAAACTTCAGAAGAGCTGCCACGCACAAGCAGAATTTAGCAGAAGTATATGAGATGGAGATTGGAGATATGAAGAAGGCAATTGAAAGTTATGAATTAGCTGCCAGTTGGTTCGAGGCCGACAATGCTGAGGCGTGAGTTTTGACCTCCATTATTGACACCAATGCTATTGGTATTAGTTATGAAGATGTACTGATATATCCACAGATTGGCCAATAAACTTTATCTCAAGGTCGCCGATATTGCCGCTCTCGATGGCGACTATTATAAAGCCATCGAGCATTTCGAGAAAGTAGCAGCATCCTCCGTCTCGAACAATCTCATGAAATGGTCGGTGAAGGATTATTTCCTTAAGGCCGGTCTGTGTCATCTAGCTGTCGGCGATACAGTGGCCACCGGGCGAGCTTTCGAAAAGTACAGAGACATGGATCCAACATTCCCAAGCACAAGGGAACATCAATTATTAATTGACCTCGCCGAGGCTGTTGATGCAGGCGATCAAGAACAATTCGCCGACAAACTTTTCCAGTATGATCAAATGAGCAAGTTGGACAAGTGGAAGACGACAATTTTGTTGAAAATCAAGGGTGCTATTGAGGAGAAGGGTGATGATTTCTCATGATCAAAACTTTGTCCAATTAGAGTTAGCTCTTGTCGTTTGGCGTTTGGGTTTTGGGTGATATCTTTTGAGTTAGCTGCGGAGAAATATATTGTCATGGTCTTAAGCTTTGGCTAAACAAATATTTATACGAAAGTGATTAGTCTGTATACAATTATTTGAACCCAATTTTTAGGTCAGTGCTTGAGGCATAATAAAGTTTTGACTAATGTCATGTCTTCCGGTGAACCATTTCCCTGGTATATCTTGATGAATTAAAATATGATATAAATTTTGCAAGAGTAAAGGATAGAAGGAGAATAAGATGTGTAAACTGTAAATCTAATGGGGTGAACTGAAGTGAAGTGTTGTCAAGGAATTAATCATGAAATTATTCTACATGTGTGCTTTCTAAACATCGATTAGGAGCATATGAATAATGTAATCAAACGAACAATTCAAAACGCTAATCATAAAGATGAAAATGAAGAGATGTTCCAAATCTCACCCATCATGGATCTAACCTCTCGAACCTGTCTCCCATCAATTAACATGTAACTTCTCCACATCCTCCTGCATCTTCATCTCCTCATTCTTCCTACTCACTTCACTCTCCAATTTCCTCGCCTCGTCCTCTAAATCTGCTTCCCCCTCCCCACTCCCCTTCCTCTCCATTTCCTCATCCTCCCTCTTCTCCCTCTCATCCAACAACTCCAACGTCTCCTCCTCCTTCGCCACCTCCTCCACATCAATATCCTCCCACCCAATCTTTTCCAAAATCGTGCCGACGAGATACTGATACCTCAAGTGTCCACTGACCATTTCACTCACATTTACATTCTCAATCCCCTTAACATCTTGCGCGGGTTGCAGACCCGCAACCCCAAATTGGATGCTACTGGTACGGTAGAGGAAAGCGAGGATGTAGTCGTTTTCGGAATAGACGTTTACGAGACGTCCTGAGACGACGCTACGCATGGCGCGCCATGCGGCTGCATCGGAGGGAGCGGGAGCGCCGATTAGGACTGCGGATCTTTTTGGGGGGTTAGTAGCTATATTGTTGTAGAGGATGCTTGTGAGATAGAAAGGGGAGAGGGGATAACTTACTCGACTAAACCAAATGCTCGACGTTCAGCTAGACTCATCAAACATGAATAGATTAGTCTAGCTCCCAAACTATATCCAATCAAAGTAACGGGTCTCTCTCCCTGCGCTTTATTGATAAGTGCATCCGCAAGGACTAAGCCTGCCTTATCAGCGCGATTTTTCGCAACGGAGAATGGATTATCGACGACTTTGGAGATTTTTAATAGACCGAGGGGCCATAGAGCGGTCATCAAACTCGCGAAGATGGTGCGAGCGATGATTTCTTTCTTGGCCAGAGACCAAGCTGCGCTTTTGACCACCGATTCTAATGATGTCCCGAGCTTGGATAGGGCTTCGAGTTCGTATCGCAGTGCGAATACCTCGCTTTGGTGTCCGAGTACCCGCCATGGTGTGATAACATCTTCTTTCTGGGTCAGCCATCCACTCACACCTATTGTAACCCTTAATCTCCGATCCTTTGCCGCCAATTCCTTGACAGATTTTTGATGTAGTGATCCCCTAAGCGGCAGAAACGCAAAATCCGAAACCTCTTTCGCGTACGAATCCATCATCTTTCCCGTCATACTAGCACCATAAGCACCAAAAAGACTTCCAACAATAGCTCCGCTTTCCGCTAGAGCTCCCAGCAAGCCTGCAGCTGTCGTTGCACCAAGACCTAGTCCTCCCATTACAGTGCCTAGAGCGCCTGCGACGAGTGGAGCTGCAAGACCACCTGTGACTCCGACTATGGCGGCGCCTGCAACACCAGCGAGACCGACTTTCCATCTTCGAGCTACCTTGTTCTCTTCGCTTCTCTTTTGGGTTTCTTCATTGCCGGACATTTTCTTGGCGGCTTCTAGAAGTCCCTGTGCAACTTTCACTTCTGTTTCGGAGAGGGTGTGAAGGGGAAGATGAAGAGACGAGGCTATATGGAGTAAGAGAATACGAGAATGCGCTGTGTAGTGCTCCAATGAGAGAAGCAGTAACAGCATAGCGTGTAGGAGCATTACTCTTTTCTCTTCCTGTAACGAATAAAGAGCAGTAGACGTCGGTGGGTAAAGCTCTACTAAAGCCGCATCTGCCTCCACAACATTGGTAGTTTGTTCTATAAAAGTTAATGACTAATTTCCCTCAAAGTAGGTAGAAGCTCCAAGCAATTATTAGAAGTACATACTAACAACCTTTGTTTTTGAATCTGCATCAGGGGTAGCATTTGCGTTGGCCTTCTTCTTCTGATCTTCCGTGACTTCTTTGGGGTTATTGACAACCGATCCAATCCTCGATATCACACTTTCTTGCCATTCCTGGAAAAATTTCAGAGCATCACGCTTCAGGTCCAACATTTTAGGAGCCGATAATTCTTTTTCCCTCTTTTCTCTCAGATTCCGAGCTTTCTCCTCTTCTTCGGATTCTTCATTCGATTGGCTATCATCAGTATTGGGATTCTTATCTCCAACTTCCAAGGCTTTGCTTGGGGCTTCTCCTGTGGTAATCGAGGCATCAAAAGTATCACTGATTTGCTTTTGCATGACCTCTGTAATATTGGCGATGAGAAGTGTCAGATCAACACGTTCCTCTATTTCCAACATTGTACTAAGATCATGCTCATGGTCTTGAGACGACTCTGATTTTGATGACCAAGGAGCCATAATTATTGATAAGATTTGCGAGAATTGAGGGGAAAGTGTTGTCGCATTTGTTTACCACTTGAATGTTTCTGTCGTCGAGCATCTAGGGTTATCGATTGACGCCGATGACATAATGTCTTATCTTATCGTTAACGCGACTACTCGATGACGTAGTAATTCTCGCGACTGTGTAGGTAGAAATATATATACCTGATTCAAAATAGATAATTATAGATTCAGGTTCAAAATGTCACGAAGTCATTCATTTACGCAACGATTTCAGCTTCAGAACCAGTAGAGCTCCCGGCTCTTATCGTAATCATGTGATATAATTTTCATGTTTCTCTTCTCTTCAATTGATGATGCTTGATTTAAACCCACATGAAAGTGCCCATTCTGAAACCTCTCTGCAGATACCTCCTAGCACATTTGGCCTGACAATAGAGACTAGCCAATATAGCATTGGAACTGTGATGAATTAATCCCTCAAATCTCGACCTTGTCCTCTATAACCTTATCCATCATCATACTCAAAGGCCCCTTCTTGACCATTAAACTAAGTACTTCATAGAGTGCATCTGCCGCTGCCATAGTGGTATGTTCCGCATTCGTATCATAAGCTGGGGCTACTTCGACAATATCCGCGGCAATCAAGTTGATACCCTCCAATCCTCTTAAAATGGTTCTGAGTTCTCTAGTAGACCATCCTCCTGTTTCTGGAGTTCCTGTTGCAGGAGCAACTTCGAGGAGGTTAGCATAATGTTTTGTAGGACAAGAGCCAATGATTGATAGACAGACTTACAGGCAGGATCAAGGGTATCGATATCAATAGACAGGTAAACAGGTCTATCGAGTCCTACACGCTCTCGGATTTTCTTGATGATACCATCCATGCCAATTGTGTCGATTTCTCTCGCTTCAACAATTTCGAAACCGCAATA